ATTTTGTAGAAATAATTTTGCAAGGATGAATTAAATAAAAAATTATGAATATTTTTTATTTATATTTGTATATTACTAAAATTGCAGCGTTACAAAATTAATTACTAAAGCAATTAAATGTGGATCATTTTATTTCGACGTGAATAATTTTATATCGTTAAATATAAAGCGACGGCACTGTAATTAAAATCAATGAAAAACATAAATGTTCAATTTGATTTGTAATTAATTTGGCGAGTCGTCCATCAAAACCCTAAGTTCAACGGAGTACATGAATCGATTGCCTATATTTTAAAAATTCGTGTAAATCTTTTCTACTGCATCATGATACATATTATAATTGGTATTTTACAAAATCGATAAAATTTTATTATATTTATGAAAATTCAAACAAGTCCAAATTAAAAATCTTCTTAGAAACTTCCTTGAAGTTTTACCAGCAAATTAATATAAGTTATCAGAAAAAACCTATCTACAGCATTCCCAAAAAAAAACTAATTTAGAGAAAAATCATCTGAAACTCTAATGCAGAAGACCACAAATTGAATTTCATTTCAAGTATAGAATCGATTACATTAAATTATAAGTAAATTGTATTTCAGGCGGCGCGCTCTCTTTATACCGCTGGCACACAACCCAAATATAAATTTTTATACTCAATATTACTCAATGCGAATGACATCGGGAAAAATATAAAATAAAAAGCCTAAGCGTCTGCCATTATTTCCTTTATTCCTTTGCGGAAGCTGAAAAGTTTGGTCCATTTAACGTTTAGCCTCGTACATTAGTTCCCGATATTTCAGTATCTGGATCTGGAGTAAAAAGTGTCTGCGCAAAAGAATGTAGTCATATATAAAGCAACCGGTCGGAATATTGGCGAAGTTTCTTCGGTTTCAACGTTTATTTTTCACAATTGTGCACACTTTTATTGTGCTTTCCAACTTATATTTATCCTTGCAGTTAAATCTCGATTGATACTGCTTTATCAATATATATCATCCCTTATTTTTTAAGAAAAAGTGATCAGCATCACAAGTGTGAAGAAACTAAGGATAAGTAGATAGTAATTTTGATTTTTTATTAATATCTTCAATGGACATTATAAATATACTTACTTACAAGAATCTATTGAGTGATTGAGTGAGAAAAATAAATCTATAATTAAAGATGTAATAACAAAAGCAGCACATAAATATAGAAACAAGTTCATCAGTTACCCAAATTCACTAGTAAACTTCTTAAAGAGAATTATCGACGAAGGTTGAGAAGAAAAGCGCCACTGGATTTAAGCATCAACTCTCCTGATAAAAAATTGAAATAACTCATTATTTATATTAAATAAATAAGAAATTATTTTATAAATAAATAGTTAAGAATATATAATTATCAATAAAATATTGTTAATATTATAACGAATTGGAAAACGACTATTGAGTTGTTTTTCCAACATGCCTCTTTAATGTACAATGTCTCTTTGCGGCCGGCGATTGTAAATTCCACAAAAATTTATGAAATATCCTTAACTGGACAGTTGTGAATAAAATAGTGAATGAAAAAATGAACATTGCCTAAGATTGCACACTATAGCAATAATTTTTTATTAAACTAGTTTGGATAAACCAACTTATTTACAAATTTTGTTCTATAAACTAATCTAATAGGGCTGACTTTTTTATTGGCGCAACAATGCCGGGCAAGGGCTAGTTTCACTTGGAAATATATTGCTATCTATATTTCCAAGTCAAAATCGTTGTCACGGCTGCCTGACAACAGGCTGCTCAAAGTGGGTATCGAACCCGGGACCTCTGATTCAGGTCCCGTCGCTCTCAACTGCTTACCTACAGAAATAAATATTATTACTCACAAAATTAGAAAAAAGTAGTATATAAATGAATTTTCAAAGAAATTGTTCTACCTCGAAACCAATCATTTACGATTTCTACTTCAATGGATTATGTTGGTGTTATCAATAACAGTATTTAAAGTTTCATAATAATGTTCTTTTGTTAAAAAGCAATTATTTTGAAATTGATGTATTTTTATATTAAAAGACATGACTAACATAAGTGTACTTATTTGTAAACATATTAATTATTTACAAAGCAATAAATATAATGTATTAAATAAAATTATGAAACTTTTATGTAAAAATTGGTAGTAATTTTAAATAGATTTATTATTAAATGTTTTATTTCTGAAAACTGTCGACCTTTTTGTAAGTTAGAAACGCAAGCCAATGATTTTATAAACCATAGAAGGGTAAATTTATGTATGTAAAGCTAGGGTAAAGTAAGCTTCTCTCTATAAGTATAAGGCTAAAGTAAGCTTGTCTCAATATTTATAAAAATTACAAATAAAACCAAAAATATGTTCACATATATTAATAACATTAATTACAATGGAAATTTTGAAATTTATTATTATTTATTGCCTATTTATTTTCAATTATAAATATTTTGTTAGTGTTTGTTAATGTTTTTAGGGAAATTTTCATAAAAAGAAAAAAGCAATCCGATACCTATCTATAGATGACTGTCATTCAAACATAATTATAGGAAGTACGGCTATAAATTTCAATGGCTTCGAGATTATGAAGGCGATCGTGCATGCGCCGAACTTCTGCTTTAGATAACAGGTGCTTCTGGGCAAAGTTATGAAAAGAATTATAATGACATCATCAATATTCATATTGCCATCCCATGGAAAAAAAGCTTTTGAACTCGGATTACACTGTACTGGTGTTTTAATTTCCGTGATCCGTTTGTGTATATATAATAAACTGCACATAAAAGGAATTTAATTAATTTTGTTTTGATAACTTCAAATTATTATGGAAGTTTTACATTGATCCATAGTCAAGATAGTAAAAATTTTACGATTTATTAAATACTTAATGAAAATGATAGATGTTAAATATTAATATATTAATTTAAGAAAAAAACTATGGTATTATAACTTGTTCTGAATCTTTGATTGAATCTGCAGTATTGAAATAAATTGTAAAAGCACCAAATATTGTGCAATTATTTATAAATTTAAATATGTATGGCATATGTATGGCTTGGCAAGTATGGACAAGTAGAGTATGTGTGACATGAAAATACACTAACATTTCTTGCTAAATTCCACCCAAAATTTACGAAGTTCGAGTATATTTTGAGTACAAAAATAATTTTGATATATGGGTCATTATCCAAATATTTATTATTTTCTTCGTGTATACATATATATATATATATATATATATATATATATATATATATATAACACGGCACTCTAACACGCAGAGGCGAAAATTCAACTTCCATTTTTAGGACCCCAATAAAACATACCGCAATTTCCCTAAGTTTTCATTAGAATTTTTTGTTTATAGTTCATAGTTCAACAAAAAGTCTTAATTCTTAAAAACTTGGAACCATAGTAGTATTTTGTTACTCATGTTACGGAAATGTTATTCATGGTTACGGTTTAAAAGTTTATACACAAAATTAAAAAAAGTTAACCACAATAACCGAAAAATGGCCATAATTTAACCAAAGCTCATGATTTGCAACAACGTGAGATTTTTTTTCTAATATTTTTTAAGGGTCAATATCTCGTTTCGGCTTGACGTCAAGGTCTGAGACACCCTGTATACATATATTCATATATATATATATATATATATATATATATATATATATATATATATATAGAGCACTTTGCTAAAACATCCTGAATAATATTATTTGAGTTATATAGATATATAACATAGATAAATTTACCATTACCATTTTTAAGCACAAATTAGTTACCAAACGACACTTATTCGTTATTTTCTTAAATTATTCTGTCTGTTTCCGTTCAATACTCCAGCCTGCATCTAATAGGCTCGTTAACTCGATGTCAATTAGGAGATCTGCCTTTCTTCTGTCCCCTAACTTTTTTTTTCAAATGTACGACAATGGCCTAGCATTAACTGTACAAGATCGGGAAACCGAAAATTAAATTTTTTTGTGGTCACGTTACAATTTGCAAAGACGGAAAAGGTTCGGGTTGATCGGCTTTTATCAGAAAATACTCAAGGAATGGCTGGGAATGAGTGTTGAATGATACATTTGCATCTTAATATCTATTTTAATAAAGATTGTTGTTAATTATAAATGTTTTAGAGGATAAAATAATCGGTAGCATAAGCGTTAATAATAAATCAATATAGCAGTTTGTAAAATAGTTATATTAAAATTCTTTTTAGAAAAAACTACTTTCTCTAGCTAGATCTAGCTTACAATTTAATTTCAGTTAAAGGAAACCTCAATATAAAATTATGAGCGATAGTTCTGGATCTTCAAACCTTCTTCATATCCTGATGGAAGATAACGCTCGACTTCAGTTATTGCATTCGAAGGAATGCAATGTTATGCAAAACCAATAATATCATAGTCTAGCTTGTTGCATGCTTTGAATTTCATTCTAGTCCAATATAAATCGGATTGGATAACGACTTTCATACTATATTATATCCATATACGAAAAGGGTCCACGTACCAATTTCGACTTTTATTTATTTATTTTGTTATAACAAAGTTGAAATACAGAGATTATATGTATCCGAAAGCGATTACGAAATTGCTGTATCAGTTACCTTAAATTCTTTTGCGTTTACGATGTTTCTACGTCGCTTTAGATTTTGCTGGCAGTAAAATTTTATAATAAAGAGATTAGAAATACTTATGAGAATAGTGAACGAAATAATCCGATATAAACTTGGAGCTAATAGTCTTATAATTGAAATGGTGTGGTGCAATATTTTTATCAAAATCTAATCGTATGGGATATGGTCATACTTTATTAAAATTGAAGTATGTTTACCCAATTATTGAATATACGTAATAGGATAATATGACATATAATATTTATATGATATAGAATATAATCCTATGCATATCATATCATATGCATTTATAACTTTATACATACCTAAATATATGAAGTCTAAAAAAAATTTTCTTATTTTTCAGGTATCTTGGATACGAAAAAGAGATCTGCACATTTTGACAGCAGGAATATATACTTATACATCTGATCAGAGATTTCAGGTAAAGAATTAATACAATTAATCATTTATTTCAATTTTCAATAACTTTTGTAATTATGAGGCTATTTTAGTAATTAACCACTTAATTATTCAATGTACATTGGCAAACATAATGAGCCTAAATTATTTACTGATGCTATAAATATGTTTATAATGAAATATATTTTGTTGACACCGCAATATTCTAATATGCTAAATATATCTTTTATAACAATATGTTTTTATCTAATATATTGTTAGTTTTTCATTTATATTTATCTTTTTCCTGAAGCAGTGTTTAGAATAAAGTTAATTAAATGGTGTCTATTGGCCGTGATATAATATAATACTACCAACCAACAATGAATACAGTTATTTATTATTAAGTTTTTGAAATATCTTAATTTTAAACGTAATAATAGTTTGATCTGATTTGCAAATTTCATTTTCTATTAATCAATAGAAACCATCTTGAATACTTCATATGATTTGTTCTTATTTATGGTCATAATGTAAAAACAAATTATTTAGAAAATTACTTGATTGCCACTATGTTTGCATGATTTTTTAACTTATCAAGCAATTTGTTCTCAATAGTTTATTCCGAAGTTTCAAAACAATTTCCTGGGCATATTTATGCGCTTGTATATGTATAAGTTAAATATCTATTATCAGAGCTTTTGAATTTCAGTAAAATGCGCTCTTTGATCAATATAATTAGACAAGTTATCCAAGGATTTCTTAAGAGTTTGAAACAAACGTTGCTAGCTTCTATTAATATTTTCATATGGCAAAATAATATTTTTTCCTACTACATTAATCCATTATACATTCATTCCTGCGGCATTCATGTACAAAAATTAGCATATAAGCATTTTCTCGTATCATTCCGAAATCCGAAACCATCCAACAATATATTCGTATTCATCGCAGTATAATGTGTCGAACAATACACAGCGCTGATGGCTTTTATTCTCGAGAGTAAATACAAGACGTAGCCTTTCGGTCATTTACCATCTTATTTTTGATGGAGGTACCTCTATCTACCCTACAGTATCTAGGTCATGTAAATATGAAAGTATTATGTTCCGAAAGGAAACGATGTGAGAGCACAAGGAATAATATAGACACACACAAGAATTGAATTCTCTATATGAATGAGCGTACGCTGTGTTACTTAAATACATATATTTTTATGTCTACATTTTATATAGGTGATGTATATAGATCTGTCTATTACGACGGATACTCTTGTTTCATTGCGTCACACTATTGGGGAAATGGGTTTCTTGGTGTTTTGTATTGATTCTTCGGAGTAATATGGCAGTTGAGCATAGTATTTAATGTAAAAAAATAATTAAGTGATATATACATTAGAAAAAAATTAAGACCCTATTGCATAGATTTCGTAATATTTTGTAAATGAATGTGGTAACCATATAGTTTTTATATAAGAACAATCTTTTTAACTATAAGGGGCCAAAACGATAAAATAGACCGTTGCATAGTGTTGTTATGGCTACATCACATATATTTAGTTATGGTAACATTTTTTGACGTTTGTACGTTTTTTCAGGTTAGGTTTTCTATCTTACACGCCTGACTGCACAACAAATACATAGCATTTTCACAGTTGTTAGTGCAAAAAAGAAGCGTAATATACCGTTATATATAATATTTTCATAGATATTACACTACATGAACTGCTAGTCGTTTTAAGATTATCAACCCGTCTGATTTTCCAGCGCATAACTGATTTTATTATTATTTTGATTTTATTCTATGTTTCTGTTCTGTTTTGTATCTTAATTAATTGACATGACTTTACACCGTCGACAAAGTTGTGATTTGCATACCCACGGGCAAAGTTTTTATAAAGACTAGCTTGTAGCTTGTTGCCGCGTGCTTTTTGCCCCCGTGTTATAATACATACAAGTTAATGTAGTAAGAGTAGATAAAGTTTCCTGTGACTTTAAAGTAACTATTTTTATTTAAAATTAATATAATTCGTGTAGCTTTTGACATAAAGTCTATGAACTTATTTAATTTTCTTTTAAAATCAGTCAATCTCAAATCTTAATTAATTTATCAGCAACAAACTATCTATTTCTTTATGGCAATGAGACGGTTCTCTGAAAATTTTACATTGCTTTTATATTTAATACAGTAAAATCCGTTGTAATTTAACTGCTTGATGAAACCTTAAAAAAATCTCTTTATTTTTTGAAACGATTCAATTTTTTGAACCAATATGAATCAATTGAATCTGAATCGTTGTCGTTGATGAACAAATATTTCTTTATTATCTATACAAAGGAATTATAGTATTTTTTGTTATTTTTGACTTATTATAAAAAGAAAATCATACTCTAAAATTAATCAAACGGCGCAGTCGATATTATCTAGTCAAATCGATTTTAAGACTTTTAAAAATTATGTACAAATATTATCATAACTTTTTCATGCACTATATAAATACATTTAATCATTTAGGCTACTTACAATCAAGTAGGAATCTAGTTGGAATCTGGTAAGAATCAAGTACTTCTAGTAAAAATGGTTAGGAAATTCCTATTAGAATTATTTGATTTCATTGATACTTTGTAGTAAGAAATAAGTTACGACTTAGTTAGAACCGAGTACGGATATAGATAAACATCACATTTAATTACTAGTTAAAATGTATTAAGGAGCTATTTTAAACTCGGTTTGAGTTAAATGATTTTAATAATATTTTAGTAAATTATTGATTTATCAATGAAATAAATTAAAAAAAACAAATACAAAATTTATGAACATTTACCCTGCTTTCGTAAAATTCCCCGTGAGTAATTTCTGGGTTGTTTCACAGAACCTGTGATTTAAGTCTAATTAGCTCAGATAGTAGGTTACCAATAGCAATTTGCTGAATATATTTATGATCTAATTTAATTATACTAGAGCCAACTGAAGTTTTACCTGTAATTCAAATAATATAACTTGTAGATTTCCTATTCACCTAAATTTCATCTTATGCAGGAAAAATATGTTAACCGTTTCTAGGACTATAAAGGATGATGTAAGACGTCGGCAAACTTTAGCACATTAGAGAGCGTCTCCCAGACGGCCTTCGTCCTCGTTCCGCGTTATTTGAATACGTTTTATTATTTAATATTTAAATTCTCTCGTTACGCTTCGACGCAAGTTTACTGAATTATAAATCGTCCATATCGCGCGCCAGGTTTGCTGCTCAGCACCGTTAAACTTTGTCGTTGTTTTACTACACTTTTTATTCCGAGCCATTATATTGTTTAACGACTATTTACATAATAAACTTATGTTTGTCCTGATATTTATGTTCAGATGTACAAGAGCAAAAACGGGGATTTTTTGCACTTGTAATAGGACAATTTTTCAGAACATTTTCAACCTTGAATTTTGTTAGGATCTGTGTGATTTTGTATCATTCAGTGAAACATCACTAACATCTCAGCTAATATTATAAAAAAATATAAAAAATTACATAGAGTAGAGCGGGGATTGAAGGTCTGCGGGTAAACATGTTCACCACCATTATCTCAAAAACGGTAAATTTAAGAAATTTTTAACAACAATATATTTGCAAGTATAGGGAGAATATTTTTTCACCAGCCATCACCTTGATTCTTACCATGTCGTTATTAGGGGAAAAATGCAATGTTTGAAAGATCATATCAAAAGTATTTACTTTCGTTGTTAGTTTTTTGGGTTGCGAGCACTATTCCCTAGTTTACGTGACCTAACTATAACATTTAGGGATATGTTATTCAACTGTTTTATAAAATGTATTATTATTTTTAAGTTAAATTCAACAGTTTTTATATAACTTTTATAAAACCTGGGAGGACTAAAAAACACCAATTAAACCATTACTCTGCTAAAGATGTAATTAAAAAAAAATAGTTAATAAAAAAGTAAATCAAGATGAAAAAGAGCAATTTTACAAGACAAAAATTAAATAAATATTAATTCCAACTCTGCTGATAAATATTTCTGAAAAAATACCACATCCAGATTATTTAAAGTGTTATTTCTGTAAAAATGCACCCACAAAATTTTCTTTATGCATTGGTTGAATAATGTAACTATTATTTCGTAAAATCCGTTTAAAATTAAAATAAGATTAGATCTGTTCTTCCCCTCGCCTATGGTGTAAAAAGGACCAGGCTACATTTTTTTTGAAAACAGCAAATACAGTTCTTCAATGATTAGCTGAGTTTTACTGAGCATAGTCAGGTAGTTGTTTGTTTGATATGTGTTATTTTTTGAGATATAATTGGTTTAGTTTTTACAATATAGTATTTCATAGTCGAAATGGACATTTGTGCCTTCTTTTACTTTTACTACTTACTTGTCCTTGTACATACTTTTGCCTATACTTGTCGCCCCAGTTTCATCTACAATGTAAATTTCTCATAATCCAATAACTGTACCTCTACAATTAATTTATTAATCGATTACGCACTTAAAAATTTGTTAGTTTGCTTTATTGCATTCAATTAAAATAAAACAATTTCCTTGCCAATTAAAACTCTACGTAGAATTGCATGTCTATTGTAAGTTACAATGTTTTCCGGTTCCATAAATTAAGCTTCGAATTATCGTCTCGTGCGGTTGCGGAAACGCGAAAAGTTTTGGTAGTTTTGTCCAACTGTTTTATTCAGGAAGTTCATTTATTTTTGAACCGTTTAGTGCTCCAGTTTTGTATGTTAACGACTATGCTTTTGCAGCTTTGCTGGATATTTAGAGAGGTTTATTTTGGAAATTATTTTAGTCTCGTTGTGAAATAATAATATTAAAAAATCAAATCGCAGAACTTATAGTATTTTTACATATTTTATTAAACATTCAAATGCCTCTAATAAACAGTTATTTTTCGTATTTTTTTAATTCATTTAATTTTGTTAAGAATCCTGAAAATGGAAGCGATACCGTAGTGCCATACGATCGCACAATTTATGTGAGAGCAAATAAATCTTGTTTGTGCACTTTCATGTTCAAAGACTTTATTTAGTTTCATGTGATGTTATAACGAACTGCAGGTAATATTTCACTGTGGGAAATACTATATCTTCATGCATTTAGTTTCTTCTCCAATATATATAATTTTATCGCGGTATTCATTTAAGAGGGTTCTGAAATAAGAGTACATTTTATGGTAGCATTGAGCAAATATGGTTTCATTTTCTAATTGAAACAAAAAATATGTTATTAGTTGAATACTGTAAAATTTATATATTTAATTTTTATTTTATTGACTTTCATTCATGACTGATGCAATGTTTAATCTGATGTATCTTTTAAGTCTTTTAAATTTAAGGCTTTTTATTGTACCTTAATTCATTGCTCTAATTGAATTTAGATGTATTGAAATTTCTACATCTATTTAATTAAATTTCTATCTTGTAGAATGCATATACTTACTCGTATTTCCAGTTACTTCAAAAATATAATATGCATAAGCACTTTTCCAAAAAAAAATAATTATAAAGTTAAGTGAAGGCTCGTAATATTGGCACTTTTTCCTCTTTGTATATTGATGCTCAATATCAAATTTTTTTTTATGTACTTACGTAATAGACAACTATTAAATCCAACTCGATTTGAATCACTAGTGGTTTTATTATTGGTAATCTGGCCATATTGGTTTAGTCAGATTTAAAGTTAAAATTTATGTATATATTTTTTTCTAGGTCATCCGACCGGAAAAATCAGAGAATTGGACTCTGCAAATAAAATTTCCTCAACAGAGGGATGCTGGCATCTACGAGTGTCAAGTCAACACGGAGCCAAAAATGTCCATCGCATTCAGACTCAACGTGATAGGTTAGTCAGATATTGGATATATATATATATATATATATATATATATATATATTTTGTGCACATTTGACTTATTATTCTTTTTGACATTGGCATCCAACAAAACCTTTTTGAAAGAAATAAAATAGACATTTTCTTTGAGAATCTAATTATACTGGTTGTGGAATACTATGTTTTTAAATTAATAATAATACGTAGTCATTTACAAGAAAAATATTTTATTATTTCTTTCGTGTTCTGAGTCTTAATATTAAGACTGTTTCAAGAAATGCCATTGAGAAAAGCATTAACGCCATTAATCCGAAGTTCAGCAGATGAATGATGTTGAACGTAATATCGCACGCAGTTGATTAATATCGTACTGAACACGAAGCGCAAGCCGCCTTACAAAAAATATTAAGATTAATGATTAAAACTGCAATACCCTACTTGAGAGAAAGACAAACGAGATTAGAATATGATATGCTAAATAGACGTAGCTCTTGATAAATAGTCTGCTTTCTTGTACTAATGAAATGCGAACTAACGGAATATTATTACAATCATTTGCATGTGGGATTTTTGATATGATATTGTAATATATCTTATTACAATGGCTTCAAAAGGTTAGTAGATCATTTTCGGGCGTTACATCAATAAAAGTTCTATGAATTGTGCTAAGTTTATTTAATATCCATTTGTTTAGTCAAATGCTCTGGAATTCATACAGTGGAAAATAATTTCATACACTTAAAACTAAGTTAATACCATGTAAAAGGCAAGTAAAAATTTGGGGTTTAATTCAATATTATTGAGCTATTATTATTGATCTAAACATACCAGAATGATCTAAAAATACCATAAGAGAATACCAGGTGTGTTCTCTTAGTATGGCATACGTAAATATATTATCTTCGATATAAAACTAACGTTTCATATACTTATACTATAAAATAACTATTTCAAAATATAGATATTGGTACTAAATAATATACTTCGATATTAAATAAAGTTTCAAAAAACTTAATTCAATATTATTGACCTATTATTATTGATCTAAACATACCCAGGTGTATTCTCTTAGTCTGGCATACGTAAATGTATTTCCTACCATATAAGGCTAACGTTTAATATACTTATACTATAAAATAACTAATTCAAAATTTTGATATTAATACCAAATAATATGCTCGGATAATAAACTTTTGAAAATTTATTCAGCTTTATATGTAATGGCCGCTCATTAAAACTCAAATCATATCAACTCAAATTATATCAACATCAATGTTAAAATTTTACATATGAATTAGGGTGGTCCTTATTATGGATGTTTTCAAATTTTCTGGCTCCCAGAGTATTAAATACTTCCGAATTGATAAAAAAAATTCTCTGAAAGTTTTGGCTCCAAACTCCAAACCAATGTTTCTTGATTATTCTTTCTAAGTAAATATACTTTATAATATATATATATATATATATATATATATATATATATATACTTATCAATATTTTGTGAAATATATCAAATTTTTATAGTGATTTTTTTATTCGTGATCAAAATAAGTAAATACAATGTTATCTTTAAAATTTTGATTCACTTGTCGCTAAGTAATATGGGTAAAATGGAGTTTTAACCATATTACTTCCATAGAAACGTTAGTTGGAGTGCGAACTATCTTAAAATTAATATTAGGAGCTAATACTTTCAGTTTTTTTAAATTATTTTGGAAGCATTTAAGTCCCCGTGAGCAAGGAAATAGAAAAACATTCATATTAGGGACCACCTTGATATACATATACATTTAAATATATATGTGTATATATGTGTGTTAGTATATATATATATATATATATATATATATATATGTGTATATATGTATATATGTGTATGTATATGAATATATAGTTTGTATGTATGTATGTGTGTCTATTCATATTGACAAGTTTTCTAATTATCTCATTTGTACTATTTATAGTCGAGTTATTATATTCATTATCCAAACAAGTGCTAAATGCAAATATTAGAATGATGTGGCGATGTTAATAATTTGCTCGTCTATTTGCACAGAATTCTGCTTGTGAAGCTGATACTGTTGTTGGTACTCGGACATGATTTCTGTTTACATAGTATCAACGTGGCGCCTATTAACTTTAATAGTAAACATTTACATCACTCTAGATACGAGCATATAAATATTATATATTTAAGTGTATTATTTGTAACATTATCCTGAGATAATGAAAATATGGTAAGATAAAAGATTCTACAAATATAAAAAGCTCACTAAAACGCATTAGTGATTCAAGCTATGGGATTTCAATCAGTTTCGATATCCGCGTCCGAGAACCTGATGTCAAGCTTCTAGTGACATCAGTTTTTGCTTGGAAATATAGTTAGGAATTTGTTAATAAACTTCATGAATTTTATAGAAATTTCAAGAATAATTTCATCACATACAGATTGGACAACCGTTTGTATTCGTATCTGAAAATGCTTAAGCTTACAGCATGGTTGTGAATAGGGAATGCAATACCGATGGAAAATTTCAATACCGGTATTTCGGTAATTTTTCATTTTAAAACCGGAATACCGGTAAATTACCGGTATTTTTATTATTTTAAACAAACGTAAACAAAATTAAAAGTTACTGGTACAAATATAAAAAAATGTATATACAACTACTAAACAATAAGATAAAACAATAAGTTTATTTTTTTAAATAATAATTTAACATAAATATATGCAATTTAATTAATTCATTATCACTTTCGAGTATATTGAGTACTTTTCAACAAAAACAAACTTATGAGTAAGAAAGACCAAAAACTCATGAAAGATCATATTACATTATTATAATAAACTGTATTGTCTATATCCGATTTGTTAAATTAGCATAATCTCCAATATTTAAAAAAAATAATGTTCTACACTAATTTAAGATCGATATCTTTGTAAGATATCTTTATCGAAATAAATAATAAGTTACTATAATTGTTGAGTATTGTTATTCAAAACAATGTGATGCTTCTATAGTATTTTCAAACTTCGAAACGTTTTGAAAAATAATATTTTATGATTGTAATAAGGATAAAAAATATTTAGTGATTATCATAATTATTATGTATAAAGTTAGAAAAAAATTAAGAATGCACAGGGGTAATCTGTATGATATAATATATTTTGTCGCGAATATCACTTCAACAACCGTTACATCTTCACAAATGATGAAACAAACATCGATGTTCAGATAATGATCATTATCTATCAGTCCAATTCTATTTATTGTAACACGATATGAAGCCCTTTGGAAAGCAATAAATATTCAGTTTAATGACGAGTTGAGATAATATTTGACATTTGTTTACCTTATAAAAAATATCGGTATTTTTGGAATAAATATCGGTAAAAATACCGTCGAAAAATCAGGCGGTTTACCGGTAATTTGGTATACCGGTATACCAGTATTGCATTCCCTAGTTGTGAATATCATCACAACATCTTATAAAACCTTTAAGAAAAATATTGTGGATATGCAATATAAAAAAAAAGATCAATTCATATTTTGTTCGAAAGATTGTTTTGAATTTGACTGAAAACCTATATTCACCTATATTATATTAAATATATATTAATATATTCGATTAATCGATCTCTCGTAATGTTTAAATCCACCCTGTTTCTGAATAAAGAGCCTCTGATAAAAATCATCAAGGATGATTATGCCAGGAAATGATTTTACTCAAACTACTTATTATAAATACATGAATAAACACATATTATGAATAGCTAGAGATAGTTTTCGCGATTTTTTGGTGGGATCATCTTGACTTTTTCCGAACACCAATATTATATTAAGTGAATCCTACTATCACAACTCTTTTATCCATTCCCCTTATAATATTTTATTACTCCCTATTTCCGTCAAAAAATGAATATTTATCTGAGGCGAAGAACTTGAATACCAAATAACTTCTATAGAGCATCCTGTGCCATCTATGGAAGTTTCATATGTGAGTTTTGGTATTTTAAGACTTGGGCGTGCTATGAGGCATGCTACGGTGTCGGCGTAGAGCCGAGGACATTAAGGTTATTAGTGACATCATCTGAGTCTCAGGACATGTTCTCACATCCGGTATTCGCTCTTCTTGTGGCGTTCTACCTTCTCCACATGTCGTAGGGGTTGTATCATTATAACCGTAGCTATAAAACGAGATATTTTGGAGTGTAATTTGGACCTGCGAGACTACCGAATTTGCTTTCACGTTTCCTATTTTCTAATCATCATACGTTATCCAGAGATTACTCTTGTCTCAAAGTCAATGTAAATCTTTATTCGGGATAAATTTGTATAACTTGGGATTTCATTTTGTTAGACTATCATTTCTACGAATATCCGTTATTCAACTATGGGAAACTTACTAGTATCGGATTATTCAGGTTTTTATTTTTTATATATCTATTTTTAGGTAACGAGACATTTTGGAGTATAATTTGGACCTACCAGACCAAATTTGCTTTTACGTTTTCTGTTTTCTTCTAATCGTCATATATTGGCATTAGGCTATATTAAATAGGCTTGTTTAAGTCAAAGCAATTTTTTTTAGGATAAATTTGTATAACTCGGTTAATATTTAAATATTTCAATATATTAGACTATCATCGCTATCGTGTTATTTTATGTTTTGATTTTTGTACTCGATTTTGTTTTATTCTAACCTATCATAACTTACTACTACTAAAGTTGTCCGAATTGAAAATTTTAGAAAACATGCGCAATTGTGATATTATTTTTGATTCTGATCTAGTAAAAGTAAATTTTAATTAACAGTTTCAATAAAATTTAACCACAATAACTGAAAGATGGTCACAGTTCCAGCAATCCGTTTTGGCTTCACGTTGAGTTCTAGGATAACCTGTGCATATATTGTTATTGATGCTTTGTTTAACAGCAATATAAGAACAGTATGTTCAATTTACCTTCATTTCCTCCTTGTAATACCACTTTTTACTCTTTAACTTCTCT